TAAAACACACACAAATCACCGCCTCTCGTAATGATGTCCATAGAAACATGTATATGCACAAAAGCTGAGTATCATCTACCATGTATTCAATTGTGAAAGCAGAATAACCTATATCATAAAACACACACATATCATCGCCTCTAGCAATGATGTCCATAGAAACATGTATATGCACAAAAACTGAGTATCATCTACCATGCATTCAATTGTGAAAGCAGAATAACCTATATCATAAAACACACACATATCACCGCCTCTAGTAATAATGCCCATAGAAACATGTATATGCACAAAAGCTGTGTGTCATCTACCATGTATTCAATCGTGAAAGCAGAATAACCTATATCATAAAACACACACATATCACTGCCTCTAGTAATGATGTCCATAGAAACATGTATATGCACAAAAGCTGAGTATCATCTACCATGTATTCAATTGTGAAAGCAGAATAACCTATATCATAAAACACACACATATCACTGCCTCTAGTAATGATGTCCATAGAAACATGTATATGCACAAAAGCTGAGTATCATCTACCATGTATTCAATTGTGAAAGCAGAATAACCTATATCATAAAACACACATATCACTGCCTCTAGTAATGATGTCCATAGAAACATGTATATGCACAAAAGCTGAGTATCATCTACCATGTTTTCAATTGTGAAAGCAGAATAACCTATATGATAAAACACACACATATCATCGCCTCTAGCAATGATGTCCATAGAAACATGTATATGCACAAAAACTGAGTATCATCTACCATGCATTCAATTGTGAAAGCAGAATAACCTATATCATAAAACACACACATATCACTGCCTCTAGTAATGATGCCCATAGAAACATGTATATGCACAAAAGCTGTGTCATCTACCATGTATTCAATCGTGAAAGCAGAATAACCTATATCATAAAACACACACATATCACTGCCTCTAGTAATGATGTCCATAGAAACATGTATATGCACAAAAGCTGAGTATCATCTACCATGTATTCAATTGTGAAAGCAGAATAACCTATATCATAAAACACACACATATCACTGCCTCTAGTAATGATGTCCATAGAAACATGTATATGCACAAAAGCTGAGTATCATCTACCATGTATTCAATTGTGAATGCAGAATAACCTATATCATAAAATACACACATATCACCGCCTCTCGTAATGATGTCCATAGAAACATGTATATGCACAAAAGCTGAGTATCATCTACCATGTTTTCAATTGTGAAAGCAGAATAACCTATATGATAAAACACACACATATCATCGCCTCTAGCAATGATGTCCATAGAAACATGTATATGCACAAAAACTGAGTATCATCTACCATGTATTCAATTGTGAAAGCAGAATAACATATGTTTTTATTACTTTAAAGCTCCCAAGAAAATTAAATTTCGGTATTAAATGACCCATAATGTGTTGATATGCCGTTAAACAACAAAAAAATCAAACATATTTCAGAAAGACATTAAAAAAATCCTGAATATAGTTATTTTCCAAGCGTAGCTTAGATGTAGCACAAGGCCGAAAGTATGGGGCACCCAGTGCGGATCAAACTCACTATTCAGCCGTAATTGTTCTAGCGAGTCAAGCTTGCTAAGCATTACACCGCCTGAAGGTGTCCAGTGATTTTTTTCAGCGTAGTTTAGATGTAGCACAAGGCCGAAAGTATGGGGCACCCAGTGAGGGTCGAACTCACTACTCAATCGTAATTGTTCTAGCGAGTCAAAATTATTAGTTATCAGTGATCTCCTGTTAAGTGAGTTAAGTTATCTCCTGTCAGTGTGAGTTCAATACCCGGTTAAGGCAGTGGAGAACTTGGAGAAGGGAGATAACTGATAATTGGCATCCATTAGACATGGCATATGGAACTAGAACAGTTTACCCCCATCAGCGAGATAATGTGTTCAGTTTGACATTCCAACCACCTGAAGAAGGCCGGAGCGTACAACGACCGAAACGTTGTAATAAATATGGCAACAAAGATGAGGAGAATAGTCCGAATAATGTTTACAGTGTACATAATACCTCATCTCAGAAATATAAACAGATACTAAAGGACTGAAATGTTGTAATAAATATGGCGACAAGGATGAGGACAATAGTCCGAATAATGTAAATAATGTACATAATACCTCATCTCAGAAATATAAACAGATACTGAAAGGCCGAAACGTTGTAATAAATATGGCAACAAAGATGAGGACAATAGTCCGAATAATGTTAACAGTGTACATAATACCTCATCTCAGAAATATAGACAGATACTAAAGGACTGAAATGTAATAAATATGGCGACAAAGATGAGGATAATAGTCCGAATAATGTAAATAGTGTACATAATACTTCATCTCAGACATATAAACAGATACTAAAGGACTGAAACGTTGTGATAAATATGGCGACAAAGATGAGGATAATAGTCCGAATAATGTAAATAGTATATATAGACATATACATGACAAATGAAATTTCAGTCTAGACATCGTTTCTCTTTTAATGTCTGATATAAAAAGTTTTTTTTACGCTCTTATTAAACGCCCACTTAATAAATCTTTTTTCTCTCTTTTCAAGTGTTAACAGAAATAGGCACTGCAAGAAAGCACATACTGGAATCAAATGAATTGTATTCTTACGACGGGTAAGTTCATCGGTGGTAATTATAATTTTGTACTCTCCCCTCCAAACACATATTTACTTCCGGTGCATTAAAATTTCCATTATGTCGTCTAAATTTAAAATATAATCTCAGGATGTCAACACTAGTATAAAGGGCCAGGGTTGGGGTTGAATATGAAAAGAAAACACGTGCGTTTATATTTCCTGCAAGAAGAAGGTCTAGCAACATGAAAATGTCGGATTTGGATTAAGTCCAACTGAAGATAAAGAAGACAAACAAACAAGACCGATATATATATATATATATATATATACATGAATTATTCACACAAAAACTAATGCAAAGGTTAATGATTTAAATGGCGAGACATCCATCATCGCAAACAATTCAAATAATATACAAAAACCTCCATTAGACATTTTGGATAATAAGTGCGACATTACTGTAATTATTGAACAATATAGTTCATGCCACTTTGACAGAAAAATTTACCAGTAAAAAATTTGTTCATCACAATATTTTATATGAACGCACAACCTTTAAAAATTTAAAATCAAACTCAGCGTTGCTTTTGCGCGCTCCAAAAACAATAACTCATTTTCAATAGCATTTTCGGATACAACAATACATATATTTTCGTTGTCCCTCTTATTACTAAGAAAAAAAAAGAACAACATCTATTCTATACCTGAAGATGTCTGTAGGAACAGACGAAAGCTTGTAGTAAAAATAAGAACTAATACGGCAGAAATTTATATAAACAAGGATCATTTCATTCATAACGGATACATGGAGGTTTTTGTATATTATTTGAATTGTTTGCGATGATGGATGTCTCGCCATTTAAATCATTAACCTTTGCATTAGTTTTTGTGTGAATAATTCATGTATTTGTAAATTGATTGCACGTTTATCGTAATATATATATATATATATATAGATATAGATATAGATATATAAACAAATATACGTATTAAACAAAACAATTACAAAGCACATAGACAGTTAACATTGTGTTTGTGTGTGAACATTTGTGTGTGTGTGTGTGTGTGTGTGTGTGTGTGTGTGTGTGTGTGTGTGTGTGTGTGTGTGTGTGTGAACGTTCGTATTTTGGTGAATGTTCGTATTTTGGAGAAGTTCGTAAGAGTTCGTATGTACGGGAATGCGTGAAATGTTATTGAACCTCTGGGCGCATAGTCGAGACGATAATTCTCAGGGGCTACATTTTGCAGCAAGAAGAGAGAAAACAGGGAAAAAGGCAAACTCGTGTTTGCTATTTATGGATAATGTAATCACGTGACAGGCTCACATCGCCTTGACGGGAAACTTGACTTAGTCACGCGCTGGAAAAATATATTGTGCGTGGGTGGATTGCAACGCCCACTTGTGTGTTTATTGACCGATTAGAAGCTGATATTTCCTGAAAAATATTTACTAAGCTGAGAAGGCTCTTGGGATCTGATTCTCCCAAAAGTGCACACAATGAACTATAAATGAAATCTTGCAATTATAAAATTGTCTATTACAAACTAGTGTTGATTTATTATCCAATGGATGCTTGTTGTTGTATAATTTGAATTTGTGTAAGTATGTATGTATGTGTGTGATGATGATGATCCTTACACTAGACCAAAACAGTGTCCTGTATTCAACCTTTGAAAGTGGCACGTATGCCCACCTTGTAGAATCTCCTTGGCTGCTTTCCCGGTCATGGGCGAGTTGCCACCTCCACCTCATCATCGTGGGAGAACAACTATTTTTTAAGTGCTATCTGTGCTATGAAGCTCCAGAATCTTAAGAGCAGAAATTGTACTCTGCCCTTTCAAGGAGTCCGTTATCATTCTGGGAATGGACTTAGCACAGAGCAACCAAGAGACGATATAAACCGCAGGAATCAACCGGAAGACTTTCACAGTGTTTTGTACTAGCGATTCTTGTCAGCTGCACTTAAAATAGCCTATTTATACCAAGTTTCATCCACAGCAGCAGCAGGCCTGCCACTGCGTGTTCTGTCACAAAAGTCAGTTTCTTCTCTCTAGGACTAACATGTAACTCTGTTGACTCATTTCCTGAGCGTGTTTGAATGAAGTATATCCTTTATCTAAGTATTCACTAATTCCTTTTTTTCAACTCTTTCCCAATCCAATAAAAAAGTAAGTATTTGCTTTTTAAATTATCCAGAAGGTCAGACATTTTGGAAGTGGATTATGTGTAAAAAAAAAAGATAAGGTACCTCCATAATACCCCCTGGCCATATTTAGAAATGTAGTGGTGTACCTCCCATCGAGTTTGTTTTTAAATATCTACTAAACTATTCGAGTATCCTCAAAGAAACGCTTCTTTCCAAGTTTAAGGCCATAATATGTTGAAACTTCGGTTTCCGTACGATCACCGAAGTTAAGCAATGTCGAGCCTTATCAGTACCTAGATGGGTGACCGCTTTGGAATACCAGGCGCTGTCGACTTAGATGTATGCGGGTAGTGTAATGCATAATAGCTCGGAATTGTTAATCGGAGAGCTGAGTTCTAATTCCAGACGGGTTTGTTATATTCACTTACACGCAAATACTCTTGGGAATCCACTTCTTCTATGGGTTAATTAGTAAGACTTTTATCACTAAAACATTATCTCAAAAATATTCTTACAATCTCAAAAAATAACTGTCTTTAAATAACCTGCAAAGGTTGATAAGCCGTCAATGAAAACTTCTTTTGAACCATGTCTGTCATCTGTAACTTCTGATTCTTCGTTTCTGATTTGTCAGGGAATGTTTTTGCTGGTCGACCGTTTTCTCTTTTAACGTAATATGAGTTCCACAGTACAAGCTGCTGCATAATGACTTGTTTATTGTTGTGGAGGGATTTCGCAATGGAGTCCTGTATTTGTACTAAGTCGGTCCTAAAATAGGTTCGACGTACAAAACGTTAGGAACTTGATATAATAGGTATTACGCAGAGTAATCTCGTTGTGGTCGCTGATACTTTCGTATTCGACTAACTGTCGTCCGACATCGACTCACTGACTGACCGACTGACGATATTCAATCACCCCCCACGATGGCATCATGTGACACAAGGCCGGTTTAACGTGGGATCTCCGAGCCCGTGGGATCTCCGAGCCCGTGGGCTCGGCCCCAAAATATGTCCATTGAACCCGTATAAACGGGCTCAGGGCCGGTTTACCTCCCCGAACGAGACTCCGCCCCTCGGCGTAGCCTCGTTCGGGTTCCTCCCCGCCAGAAGGCAGAGAGTTCAACCGAACAGTCGGTTCAGAAGTGAACTACTGACTCGTTACTCTTACTACTCCTACTTATTATAGGTGGGAGAGTCTATTAACTATAGAATAGGTGTGTTCCACTATAACATTTATTTATCCGGTAATTGACACAAAATTACACCCGCCTTTTTTATAGATTGCGTCCGTAATCACTGGTAAGTCTCCGTATAGCTCTTTATTTAGAATGTGTTGTTTCCGGCTGACATATAACACTGCTAATAATAGTCGAGTGTCGGTAACTAGTATTTGGCGGGAACAGAAGCAGTAAAATATATTAACAATGCACGTGATATTTGGCGAGAGAGAAGATGAGACAATAATATTAACAAACATTTGTTTAATTCGACTATATCCAAATCGAGAATCCTTTATCTGAAATTCTTGGGGCCCGAAAGTGCACATGTTTTCAGCTTTTCGGATGTTCGAATAGAGGCTATTTAATTTGTATATAGCAAAAATAAAAGAGGAATGGAACCCAAGCATAAACACGATATCCCTTTACATTTCATAATACAGCTTACATATACATATACCCTGAATGCATTTTTATATAAATAACATAGAGCCTGAAAGTAGTTTTATATTTAGATAAAATTATATATATATATATATATATATATATATATATATATATATATATATATATAACTTAATAAATTTTGTGTACATACAAATATAGATAATGACGCTGGTCATGTAATACTCACAAAAATAATGATTGGTTGATCCGGCTTCGTTAAACAAACCTGACGCATCCTGAATGACGTGCAAATTCTTAGTAAGAGTTTTAGTGGGAATTTTGATTCACAAGCGCTCCCCACTGCCACATGTATGCACACTTTAGAATAGCACGATCCGAGCAATTACCAATTTTCGGAAATTTATAAAAGAAGATAGGATCTCAGAGCCAGCTCTATTCTAATTATTCTGTTTTTTTTTGTTTTGTTTTTTTTTTTAATTTATTTATTTATTTTTGACAAGTTATGATTGGCTTGGGATTTGGATCCTATTTATTTGTTTATTAGCCAGAAAACAGATTTTGGAGTTGAGAATTAGTATCGGCATTAAGCATTCCATACAGTATTTTGTGTCTTAATGGGTAAAGATCATTAGCTTTCTGTAAAACAAGTCTTTAAATTTATTAATACAATTTATACGGTACTGTATAGGATACAGGTTCGAATCCTGTCGGAGGACGAATATTTTCTATGAAAATTTCTCGGACATTCAGGCCGGTAAATGTTGTTTAATACTGTTTATCATAAACAGAGCTTCTTTTTTTTTTTTTTTAAATATTTGTATCTATAAAAAGAATGTATAAACATAAAAATGTCTTAAAATACAATTTATGTATTAACGTATTTTAAAGAGTGGTCAGCGTTGGTGGAGATGGGACTATAAATGAAGTTGTAAGTGGCCTGATGATACGCTGCCAGTTAGATTTGAACCTGGATTACCAGCACCCAACCAATGAGCAAATGCCATGTTTGCTGCCCATAGGAATCATACCCGCAGGTGAGTATAGACAAAAGCTTTCATTCGGTTACTTCTTTGTCTGCTGGCATTTAGTCTCCAAAACCATTATTATGGTCTAGGAGACTAAATTACAAAACCCTCAGCCGAAATAAGGGCCCTTGTAATTTTGATAAATTTAAATAGTGCATTGCTTAGAATACAACTGTTATAAGAAATTTAAGTTGCTTGAGCGTATATCGTCTGCTTTTCTGAGAGGAAACAGACGCAGTGTTGGGTTCTTACTTAAACTTTTTGAATTTCAAAAATATCTTTGGTACATTTCGATTTATGAGAAATTGGCTGCGTCTTCTTTTGTTCGGAAAAAATCGGAGGGTTTCCCTCCGAATTCCGAGATGTGAATTGGGAGCCTACCTGAACGAAAATAAAATTGGGGACCTTGAATTGAACTCGTGGAGTCGACGAACAGTTGCTGCATGAACCAGGTTGCCCCCGGTCCAGGAAGAAAAACAACACAAAAAATTTGACGACCACCAGACGAGAAATGAAAGAAACATTAAAGTCGCACCCACATCAAAGAAAATTCTTCGACTGGTGTAATTGTTCTATTCTTCGCTGTCACTACGGACTTTGCTTCGAAAATTATATCTATTCTTTGAAAACTATTCAGAGAAGTATTTTCTCCTTTCTTCATTTTCTTTTTATATTGTTTACCTTTTCTGAGGACCGTTTGCAACATTGCAAGTTACATTGTAAAAAAAGGCATATTTCATTTGCATTGATTATTTTTACATACATGTTATCAGCCATCGTTTGTCACACAATGCACTTGATTCGTGTAATTCTTTCATTTTCGTGTGATAGGAACAAAATTATCGTCTGTTTTTTTTTAAACTCAGCTCGTGGCGTCTTTTATTGATGTGTAGTGTAGCCTTATAAATTAAATGTTACCTCAAACGTTTGTTTGAAGAACTTTTCGTAGGGCTTTGTACCAAATAAAAACATTCTTTAATTTTGCTTTTAACTAATATGGTCATTTAGAATTATCACGTTGAATTTCTCAAGTTTTCATAAAAGGGGGTGAAACACACGTAAAAAAATATTTTTACGAAGATTTGCTAATAAAAACATTTCAAAAATAATTTCATTCATTTGGGAATAAGTCTTGAAAATTTCACTAAAATCCGAGAATTATTTGATTTTTGCAAGAATTTCCAAATTACAGTGTCTGACAACGCAAAAAATGAGGCTAAAATTTGCTATGCTAAAAGTATATCCGCTGACTCAAGAAAAACAGGTTTTTAATCAAAATTTAAAATGTTCTAAAAATGAGTAAAAAAATTTAATTAAATATTTAAAAATACTTTGATGCTTCCTCTTAAGAATAACGTAAAGATTTTGACGATAAAACTATGTTTTCATTACGGTATACTGATTTTTTAGCGACTTCGTAGAGGTACCTATAAAAGTGGTGTCACCTACAACGTGAATGCTTACTGAATCAAACATAAAAGACTGATATTTATCTATCCCCGAAAAAAAAAGGATGCTTGCAGATTCAAATATCTTAGGAATGCGAACAGCAATTATCTTCCTTTGGTAAAGCCGAAGTCATGAGTTTCACGTGACGGTCGGTAAGTAACGTCAGTTCGTTGGGTGACAAAACTTGGGTTGCTATTTAGCACGCACAAAGGCAATACTTCTCTGTCCACATCAGTTGCTTATGTAAAAAGCAGAGAAACAAGACATGCCTGTCCACGACAGTTGAGAGAGCAGAGGGAACCACATGGTCTTCTTCATTTATGGCCCTCCATATCTTCTTGTCCCTTGTAGATCAGTTTTGTCTTTTTATTTCTCCCAAACCGTGTTCTGCTATCCATTTTCTTAAGCCCATTAAATAAGTCACGGGTTTCTTTCCCCTGTCCATATGTCACTCTATCCATCCTGTGGGTATCAAATTTCTCAAGCCTTCCTTCCTCATTACGTGTCCCAGAAATTACAATTGCCTCTTCATGGGGTTAAGTTTAAGTTTCCTCTGTGTTTCTATTCTCTCCAAAACCTCGCCGTTACTCACATGTTCAGCTCATGGTATCCTCAGCATCCTTCTGTAGAACCACGTTTCTGTTGCTTCTCGTCTCTTCTTCATCTTTGCGGAGATTGTCCAGCATTCACTGCCTTACAGGAGGAGAGATATCACGTAACAGTTCAGTACTCTTTTCTTTGTTTCCAACGAAATTTTCCTATCTCTTAATACTTTGCTTAGCTTTTGGAAGGCATCTTTGGCCATCCCATTTCTTCTCGCTATTCTTCTCTGCCTTCCGTAGGAGGTTTTGTAGTTTTTTTTTTCCGTGTCTGTTATCAGCACTGTGTCATCTGCATATCTTATATTGTTAAGATTGTGGCTGCCAATGATGAACCTTGATAGGAATTCTATTTGTCTCAAAATTGTATTGTATATGTCTTTCCTGAATATGTCAATGTTGCTCAGCAGCTCTAACAGATCTTTTTGGCGTATTTTGTCGAACGCCTTTGTGTAGTCTATAAAACACAAGTGCACGTCCTTCTTCATTTGTATTGCTCTTTCTGAAAATATTCTGAACATAAATATCGCGTTCCTTGTTACGGTATCTTTGACGAACCCGCACTGTTCTTGTCCTATCTTTGGCCTGATTCTGCTGCGCGCTCTATTCATCAGAATTCGGATGATGAGTT